ATATATATATATATAGATACACAACACAGACAAAATTAGTAGAAAGTGTAGTAAAAGTACTTTAATTTATCTAAGTAAATTAATGTGATGGAAAAATGTAGAAATTTCATTTTCTTTATCTCTCTTTTTTTTGGGACTATTTTACCCTTTTTGCCCCTCATCTACCTAACTAACCAGTTCATATTTGCCTATAAAATCATGGTCATGCACTATGATCCAATGCACAATCTAACAAGATCTATAGACAATAATTGAGTGGAAATTAAGTAGAACCCAACATTTTTCTTGAGGGAGAGAAAGAGAGAGAGAGAGAGAGTTTACAAGAGAAAAAAAAAATATGGTAGGATTTGGTAAGTCCAAGATTATAATATTATTCCTACTTATAGGGCTTATAATTATAGCAGCCTCTACTCAATCTAGTTTAAAGATGGATTTCTACAAAAACATATGCCCAAATGCTGAGAAACTTGTGCATGATTTTGTCATTGAGCACATAAAAGATGCCTCTATTGCAGCAGCCCTTCTCCGGCTTCATTTTCACGATTGCTTCGTACGGGTAAAACACACACGTGTATTTTATATATTTTATGTATTATATATACGTGTATGTACAATATTGTAGTATAAGTCGAATTTTGAGCTTATTGATTGTGATTGAATTGGATATATAGGGTTGTGATGCGTCGTTGCTTTTGGAGTCCACACTCGACAGTGGGAAAAAAACCGAAAAAAATGCTCCTCTGAGTCTGACTCTCAGACAATTCGACTTCGTAGATGAAGTGAAGAGGTTGCTGGAGGACAAATGCCCTGGAGTCGTCTCATGTGCCGATATCCTTGCTTTGGTTGCACGGGACGCCGTTGGAGCCATTGTGAGAATATTTATCTATACATGAAAAAATTGACCTTATTTCTTTTATATGTTTTTGTTTGGAAGATATTAAGGATTTTGCACATGAGATTAATTTAATGGAGTATCATTATTTAAATAATGAGAAAATAGTTATATACACCCCCGTTCTGAAGACATAGTAAGTTTTTCATACTGCTAGTTCAAACGCTAACTATTTTAATTTTAGAAATTGAGAACACATTGTGCAATAAATATACGACAGTCGTGCGAGTGACATTGTGCGAAAGATAAAAGTGCTCGCGCTTTCTAAGGTAAAAAAGTTTAAGTACGAAGCATTATGCGATGAATAGGTGACTGAAGTTATGCAATTGATATGTGACAATTATGTGAACCATACCATCGCATTTTTCGGAGTGAAAAAGTTAGATTGTTAGCAAATGATGAAAAAAATTTTAATATATTTTGAAAAATATTAATATATATATATATATATATATATGTAGCTAGCCAGCTAGGTAGTGTAATATTTTTCCCTAGTGTAATTATGCATAGTTATGAGTTATGATTCATGAGATGGTTTGAAAATCAAACTTTGTTATTGCAGGGTGGGCCCACCTGGGATGTCCCAACGGGCCGGAAGGATGGGCTGGTATCCAATGGCACAGAAACGTTGACCCAACTTCCATTCCCAACAGATAATTTAACCACTCTCCAGGATAAGTTTAAACAGAAGGGGCTTAACATGCAGGACTTAGTAGTTTTATCTGGTGAGCTAAAAAAAAAGAAAAATTCTTTCCAAAATAAAACTCACAAGTGAAAATGGAAAATGAAAAGATAATTGCTAGATTAACAACTATACATCGTAAAATACAACCCGAGAAACGATTACAATTCCTCGATGTTGTGCAGGCTCGCACACCATCGGGACTTCTCATTGCACGTCGTTCGCCGCCAGATTGTACAATTTCACGGGCAAAGGGGGTCCGGACCCCACCATGGACCCCGCCTACGTGGACAACCTCAAGACCAAGAAGTGCAAGAGCATAAGCTCCACGAATAGAGTCGAGATGGACCCGGGAAGTTCAGAGAAGTTCGACCGGAATTACTATGCGAACGTGCTCATGGGGAGAGGCTTGTTCTCGTCCGATGCAGCACTTTTGACCAATGACAAGTCACGGTCAATCATCAACAAAATTATCGAGGGACGATCAGTGAATTTCTATGAAGAATTTGCAAAATCTATGGTGAAAATGGGAAATATCGAGGTTAAGACGGGGAATGATGGTGAAGTTAGGAAGATTTGTACTCAAGTCAATACCTAAGACTTAGTTTTTTCATGTACAATTTTAGTTTTGCTTTGTGATTTGAGTGTTTTTTAGGCCCGTTTGTGAGGTCCACCCACACCACGAAAATAATATAACAATTCAATATATATTCTAAAATAAAAATAATATAATAATTAAGTATATATATTCTAAATTATAAATAAAATAATAACTAAGTATATATTTTTTAATTATAAATAATGTAATGATTGAATAAATAAATTCTAAATTGTAAATAATATAATGAATGCATAAATAGATTATATATTGTAAATAATATAACGATTCACTAAATATATTCTAAATTAGAAATAATAAATGATTGAATAAATACATTCTAAATTATAAATAATATAATAATTGAATTATAAAGTATAATGATAATTATAAATTATAAATAGTATAATAACTCAATATGTATATTTATTATTGGCATAAATAGATTCTATGTTATAAATATTATAATAACTGAATAAATTATATTCTAAAGTATAATGATAATTATAAATTCTAAATAATATAATAATTCAATATGTAGATTTTGTAATAACTGAATAAATAGATTCAAAATTATAAATAATATAATAATTAAGTAATTATATTCCAAATTATAAGTAATATAATAATTAAGTAATATAATGATTGAATAAATAGATTATATATTATAAATAATATAATGATAATTGTAAATTATATGTAATATAATTATTCAGTATATATATTTTATAATAATGAAATAAATATATTTTGTATTATAAATAATATTATAATGGATTATATTATAAATTATAAATAATATAATTATTGAATAAATATATTTTAAATTACAAAAAATATAATAATTAAGTAAATAAGTTCTATATTATAAATAATATAATGATTAAGTAAATAGATTCTAAATTATAAATGATATAAAAATTAAGTATATATGTAATATCCCGATATTTTGATCGGTATAAATTACGTTTAATTCCGATTTAAT